TGGAGCCGGTCTTGGGGCGGACTTGGGCCTCACGGAGACATGTTGGATGCTGTATTCGGCCATCTACGTCTATCGTGAGACATCTTCGAGGCCACCTCGGGCTATCTGAAGCCCGATTGAAGCCATCTTGGGCCAACAAGGGCCCTTTGACACCTCGCGGCGCCCCCACCCTCTGGACTCAATGGTAGGGGGTTAGGGGTGGGCAGGGGCGCTAGCGATAAGCATCGGGAACCAATGCAGACGCCAGCCAGGTGCGCGACGCCCGCAACGTACGCTGGGGCACCCCATTACCCCTGTTAGATAACAGCTCAAATGGTCGCAGATCGTCTGCGCATGGTCCAAGATCTTGCCGCAACGTTCACTTCATATTGGTTTCTGACAGGGGTGTGGGCCCGCAAGCGCGGGGCAACATGCTATCACCCACTTTGCCCTCGTCAAACCACACTGTGCAGTGACCGCGGGGCGCCCGACCATGATCCCGAGTTTTCCGCACTGCATTTTTTTTTCGGCCAGGGACGGCGGGGGAGTTGGCGTCGTCATGGTTCAGGGGCCCGTAGAGTGGGGGAGGGGTGTTTATTACTCGCCATCGCTCGGACGTCCATTCCCTGTGTTTTTTTTGGTTTCGTGCGTGGTTTTTTCGCCAAATGATCAAGGATGCTGCTCGATGGTCCTCGCCGAAGGAAAAATGCACACGTCCGAGCGATGCCAAGATTATCAAGTACCCTGAAGGACGGCCGTCTCGCTCCATCTTATCCGCCCTCCCCGGTAGCACCCGAGCACCCCGATCGAGGGGGGGACGTGACAAGGAGAATGCCTTCTCAGAAGGCGGCGGGACTTCTCAGCAGCCCCTCGCGCCTTCTGAGAAGAGTTCTGCGCCTTCGGGGAAAACTCAGGACAACTTCTCAGAAGGCCGGGGGACTTCCGAGCCTTCTTATAAGGCCTTCTCCTTCTCGCTTCCTCCCCTCGCTCGCCGCCGAGTTCGAGTCTTGGCGAGTGGCGAGCCCTCCTGCTGGGATCGCCTGCTGGCCCTCCCCTGGCCCCCCGGCCCGTCCTCGCGCGCGAGTCTGGGCGACGCTGGCGGCGTTCTCCGCCTGGATTTCCTGGGGCACCCCGTGGATGTCCTGCGGAATCCTGTGGATGTCCTACGGGTTCTTATGGAATTCTTTCAGAATCTCTCGCATGCCCTAAGGAATCGAATGCATAGGATTCCCCAGGAAATCCATGGGGTTCCTTCCGAAATCCATAGGGATTCTTCGGAAACCAATGGGATTCCTTTAGAGCCCCCCCCCGCTCGCCGCCGAGAGCAAGGTTCGCTGCTGGATGGGCAGCCGGCGGGGACCGCCATAGACGCTCGCGCGCTCCTCCGCCTCCTCCTCCTCCTCCTCCTCCTCCTCCCCCTCCTCCTCCTCCTCCACCTCCTCCTCCTCCTCCTGCCCCTCCTCCCCCTCCTCCTCCTCCCAGCGCCGAGGGCGCGACGCACCGGTGAAGGCAGCCTGCCCGCTGGCGCCGCCGGCCGTGGCTCTATGTGGTGTGCGCCCCCGACGGAGGTGAGGCGCCCCGCGGCGAGCAAAAGCCAGCGGCGCGCATGGAGGAGGCTGCTCCTGGCGACCAGCCGCCAGGCCGCCCTGGACCACGGGCTGGTCGAGCTGGATTTCGGCGCCTGGCCAGCCTCGCCCTTCGACTACGGCTTCGTCGAGGGCTGGCTGCAGGAACCCGCGCGCGAGTAGTGCGAGAAGTGGGAGGCGACGGTGGTGCCCAACACGATCAGCTACAGCGCTGAGACCTGCCCCGCAAGCCTCGAGCCTGGGACCAGCGACTACGCGACGTGGGAGGCGAAGATGGGGCCCGACACGATCAGCTACAGCGCTGGGACCATGTCATGCGAGAAGGGGGAGGCGAAGTTGGAGCCCACCGTAACTAGCCGCAGAGACACGGCGGGATGCGAGAAGCTGGAGGCGAAGACGAAGGTCGAGCCCAACGTGACCAGCTACAGTGCAGAGAGCCCACGGGCGGAGAGGGAGGCGAAGACAGAGTCGAACTTGATCAACTACAGTGCCGAGGAGCGCGAGAAGGAACGAGAGACGTACGAGCGAAACGGGCGAGCAGTGGCTGCTAAGTTGGCGAAGCTGGAGCCCAATATCGTTTGCTACTCCTCGTCGAGACTCGTCGCCACGGCTGGATCAGAGAAAACGGTTTGTGAGCAGTGCGTGAAAATTGTTTGCGAGAAGTGTGAGAGCGAGCAGAGCGAGAAGGGGGAGGCGAAAATAGAGCCCGACATCACCCGCTACAGTGCTGGGATCAGGGCGTGCGAGAGGCGGAAAGCGAAGCTGGAGCCCGACATCATCGCTGGCCACAGTATTGAGAACAGCGCATGCGAGAAGGGGGAGGCGAACACAGAGCCCGACACCATCAGCTGCAGCGCTGGGATCAGGGCTTGCGAAAAGGGGGAGGCGAAGCTGGAGCCCGACCTCGTCAGCTACAGCGCGGGGACCTGCGTGTGCGAGAAGGGGAAGGCGAAGCTGAGCAGCTACAGCGTCAGCAGGGCCATGTGGTACGCACGCTCCCAAATCGCCAGCACATGGCTAGAAGGCGGCGAAGCGATTGAGCCCAACGCCATCAGCTACAGTGTTGGAATCCAATGGGAAGCGGAGGACATACATGGAGTGTGGGGGCCCCTTCCGAGGGCTGACCAGAAAAAAGGTGGAGATGCTATATCAAAGATATCTCTACGGTGAGGAAAGCGGCAAGTTCACGGTCACAGGGTCGAACGGGAGGCCCACGTGGCCCCTCAGAGCAGATTTCGACAACATGCTGCTCCTGAGGGCCACAAGGGCGAAGGCTTCGATCAAACGCATCAGGATACGCAGAGTATAGTTGCGCTGTGTGAGAGAGGAGTCTACATGCTGTTGGGTGAATTGCAGTATGGTTGTAAGAAGTGAGAGGAATGCAGAAGCTGTGAGGAGGACCAGCACCGCCTCGCGGGGCGGAGCCAGGGAGGAGCCTGCAGCGCCCTGCAGGCGCGCCCAGCCGCGGGCTGCGGCGCCGAGGGGCCGACGCCGCCCCATACCCAGCGAGGGAACCCCTTGAGAATGGGGGCATACCCTGGGGAGGGGCGAGGGCGTCGGGGTTGAGGGGGGCGGTGGCCAGACGGCCCGCGGCGCCCAAACGCGGCCGCCCCATACCCCGAGAGGGAGCCCCTTGAGAATGGGGGCATACCCGGGGGAGGGGCACAAGCGCCGGGGACGTCGCGAAGCTTCTCGACCAAGTCGTCAGGGGAACAGTCTGGAACACTCCTCCTCCTGCCCCTCCTCCTTCTTCTCCTGCTCCTCCTCCTCCTCTTCCTCGTCCTCCTCCTCCTCCTCCTCCTCCTCCTCCTCCCTCCTCCTCCTCCTCCTCCCTCCTCCTCCTCCTCCTCCTTCTCCTCCTGCTCCTCCCCCTCCTCCTCCTCCCCCTCCTCCTCCGCCTCCCTCTCCTCCTCCTCCTCCTCCTCTCCTCCTCCTCATCATCATCATCATCATCATCATCATCATCATCATCATCATCCTCCACCTCCTGCACTGGATGGGCAGCAGGCAGGGTGCATGACGCTTGCGCGGGGTGTGCGCGCGCCGGGTGCGCTGCTCGCACCGGGCGCGCTGGGTGCCCCAATGGCCCACGCGTGCCAGGAGCGCCTGTCAGGGACGGCCAAGAAGGGGAGGTGGATATCATGGCGTAGGCCATGATATTTGCCCAAATTAAATGGCGCCTCTTCTTGTTTCATCACGTCCCTGCCCCCCCCCCTGGGTCGCGCACGGGCCGCCGGCCATGATTTGCGCCCCCCCCTCTTGGACGCCCCCCTCTTGGCCGCTCCCGACGCGTGCCAGGAGCACCTGGTGTGACGTCGGGCATGCCCCATCCACAGGCGGAATATCCAAAAATAATCAGAACAAACATACTCAGGGGACGACTGTGTAACTGTCTAAGGTTTTTTGAATGTGTTCGGTTATGTTTCATTTTTCTTCAAAAATCTGCCTGTAGGAGGACATGCCCGACCACCTCAGTCTAGAGCGCCGGATGCGCCACAGGCCCCACAGTCGCCAAGTGTGCCGCGTGTTCCGCCCATGCCGCTGGCGCCACGTGCGCGGCGCACCCGGCATGCGCCAAGGTGCGCGTGCGCGGCCCCCATCGCCAAGCGTGCTAGGTGCGCCAGCACACGTGGCAGCACGCACCGTGACAGACTCATGGACTTAAGTCGGGCCTGTCCCTCTATTGGAGGAAAATTCAAAAATGGTCCAAAAATAGTCTGGGGACTATTTTTTTGGGGGTGGGACCATTTTTGAATATTTTTAGACAATCTTTAATTTTTCCTCGAAGATCGGCCTGTAGGGGGCAGGCCCGACCTGATCATAGACCCTCCGGATAAGCCCTTGTGAAGGACAAAACGCGAGGCGGCGGCGGTGTGATCGGCATGGTGTACTGCGCGTGCAGCCGCAAGCATTTTGCATCGGCTGTTGACGGAGATGTGGGCCCAGTCAGGTAGCAATGAACAGTGATCGCGGGGCCCCCGCGCATGGTCCAGTCGTTTGCTGCAGCGTGCACCTTGTGTCGATTCTGACGGAGTTTGTCGGATTGCACACGCGTGGCACTGTAGTCGCACCCACGCTGACCTGGTTGGAAACAGTGCACAGTGATAGCGGGGCGCACGAACATGATTCCGATGCTGCCGCAAAGTGCCTTTTGCATTCCTTTTGAATGGGGATACTCCCTCCCCGAAGTGGAACAAAGAGGTTGGAGTAACTGATTCGTTAAACCGCCTACGCCGAGAGGGCTGTTGGGGCTTGCACTACCCAGTGTGATTGCCGGACCGGCCAGATGCGCGGAGCGGCCCGCTGAGGAGAAATGAGGACGATGAGGCCGTGTCCCAGCCATGCCGCGCGAAGCGTGGCCACAAACGTGCCGTGAATTCGGGTTCAATTCCCCTCCCTCCGCACTGCCAACATTCAGCGTAGAATTGGGGAAAGGTGAAGAATACGTTCATCCACTACGACGCTACCAAGACTCCCCTCAGGACCTGGCGGGCGTTGTTCTGGAGGCTCGGCGCACCTCATGAGCCCAGTGCAGTGCTGCTACAATGCAGAAGCGGGGCATCTCACGATGAGCAGCGCGATGCCCTCGTGATGTCGTTTGTGCTGTTACATGGATTTGCTCTCGGTGGGGCCCGTCGTCGTGTGGCCAGAGGCGCCACGAAACAGTCATCAGAACTGCACGGGACTGGTCTGGAGGAAAATTCTCAGAGGATTGGCTGAACGGAACAACAGTATTGCAGTATCTCTGCTAGGCGTTTGCGGGCAGGTCTGGTAGGAGTGCAACCTGGAGCTTGCTCCGCAGGAGCGCGTTGTGGGGATCTCTGGGCGCTGCGGCCACTACCCGAAAGCACCAGAGTGGCGGCGAAATGGCAATGTCTTGTGACGAGCACGGAGAGCGAGTGCGCACCATGCTGATTTGCTGACATGCTAAGAGCTTGGTCGGGCTTGGTCGTCTACAGAGGTCAAGCAGCGCACATTCAAATGCTGGTCCGAAACTGTGTAGTAACGTCGGTGCTACCCATACCTGTGAAATGATTTTGCGGGGTCCTGACATGTCGTGTGTGCATAACTATAACACATATAGCAGTGCCCAGTCACATATACCTGTGTATTGAGACATGGTGGACACATGGGTGTTTGTATACATACATCTGTAAGTATACCTATACACATGCTTAAACAGGAACGCCGAGTGAACGCGCAGGAACGTCGAGTGTGCATGAATATGTTGTCCGAAGGCGTTGCGTTTTTATCCTCCCTTGTGTTGCAATTGGAGCTGGACGTTCCGCGTTGTCAAGGCCGAGTCACCGAACAGAGGATTGACAGCTGGCCGCGTCGCAATGAGATACGATGGTCGCAGTCCCTCCCCCTTTCTCGCAGGAAAACAGCATGGAAGGGACGATGGGCATAGTGGTTCGGAACTGAGTCGGGAAGATATTGTGAGTTTGTGTGTGCGGGTCATGCGCAATGCATTTTCGTTTGTGTTATGTGTTGTTTGCTAGAGGAGCAAGCGTTGGACCTATTCTTGTGGAAGGCGCGTTGACAGAAGTGTCGGTGTGCAACGCTGGCGGCGCAGCAATTAGCTCCTGCCTAGCTCGGGCCATGCACGCGTATGCCATGCCTTGCCGCCGCCAAGCCCTGCTGTTGAAGGTGATGGGCGCGCGTGCGCGAAGCTTCCTGCTCCCTCGTCTCCTTCCTCTGCCAGTCGCCTCCGAGAAGCTGGAGCCAGCAGCGCTCTCCATTGCTGGCCTCCTGGCTTGGATGTTCGATACGGCTCCGCAGCGAGGCAGTCCCACAGCCACCAAGACGCGACCGTCTGCGGATTCAGCAACGTGCATGTCTGCATCGAATTGCATGCAGGCAACACCTACACGTATACGAAGCGGCCAGCATACAGGCGCAAGATGGTGAAACGGATGACAGACGGGGGGGGGGCTTGAGACTTCTCCTATGTCAAGGGCATGGTGACGTGCCATGATGTTGAGCACATCTGATCCAAATTGGGCTTGAACGCGATGCGAGGGCCTGCAACGTTGGTCACAAGCAGGTAGCGAAAGCGGCGCGAGCCTGTACGCTTACTGTGTGGGCGCGGGGTGGGTAGCTGGCTGCCAGGGAAGGACTTCTCTCGCGCCGGCTCAGTCCCGCCTTGCACGCACGGCACTCACAGGACCCGAGCACAAGTTACCAGTGGGCCGTTTTTTTCCAAGAACGTTTTCATGTAGGAGTCCTACCTTAAACACCATAGAGAACTGGTCCACTAGTCCCCCCATTCCCCCTTCTCCTGTGCCCCTACAGTCGCCCAACTATTCTCATGGCTTCCCTGCTATCCGTATGGCTTCGTCCAAACTATCCATATGGCGTTCCCTGCTAGCTCCATGGTTTCGTCTGCTAGAGTAGAGTAAAGAGAATGTGCCAGGATAGTGCAGAGTAGGAGTAGAGCACAGGAGAGTTGAGTATAAGTAGAAGTAGGAGTAGCTTCGCGCTCGCCAGGTCGAGAGAGCCAGAGGGCCCCAGCACATATAGAGTAGAGTAGAGTAGGTTTGGGCTCGTCAAGCTACCATACTGGTTTCCTCTGATATGCGCATGGCCCCGTACAAGCTATCCGCATGGTTTTCTTAGCAATCTAGGTGGCTTCGTCTGCTAGAGCAGATTAGGGGTGGAGTTAAGTAGTTTAGAGCAGAATCGGAGTTCAGCAGAATAGAGCAGCGTGGAGCACATTAGGAGTATAGGATTCCGCATGGCGTCGCCTGCTAGACTAGAGCAGATAAGAGGAGAGTCGAGTAGAGCAGAGTAGAGTAGGGTAGGAGTAGACTAGAGTAGGCGCAGGGTAAGTAGGTTAGTGTTCGGTAAACTAGCCGCTTGGCTTCCTCGGCCGTCCGCAAGACGTCGTCCAACCTATCCGCATGGCTCCCTCTGCTACCCGCATCGCTTCCTGTGCCAGGGTAGGGCAGAGTATAGCAGAGCAGAGTACAGTGGAGTAGAATAACATCCGAATAGAGTAGGAGTGGAGTTTGAGCAGAGTAGAACAGGCCTATATTAGAGTAGAGTAGGGTTGGGTCTGGTAGGGTTGGGCAGGGACGAGTAGAGAAGGGCAGGGCAACGGAAAGAATAGAGTCGAGCAAAGTAGGAGTGGACTAGAGCGGCGCACCAGAAGCGTACAGTAGAGCAGAACAGGGTCGGGCAGGGTTGAGTCGAGCAGGGTCGGGCGGAGCAGAGTATGGTCGAGTCGGGTACATGGAAGGATCGGGTCGGGTAGGAATAGTGGAATCGAGTAGAGGGTAGAGTAGGGTAGCGTAGATTCGGATAGAGCAAATAGAGCAGCGTAGAGTAGGATCTAGCAGATCGAGATTGCAGTACAGAGGAGGGAGTCTCAGAGTAGAGTAGAGCCAGGTAGAGTCGACCAGACGAGATGCAGTGATACCACAGTAGAGCCGGGTGAGCCGACGACGAGCAGAGTCGATGAGGGGCAGGAACAGAGTGAGAGTATCCAGGCCTGGCGAGTCTGGCCCCGCCGACTCCCATCCTCCTCACCGCAGCATGAGAGGACATTGTGGCACAGCTTACTACGCATACTGGCACGCGCTACCACCTGGCAAGCGGAAGTCGCTCGGACGCGGCCCCGCTTCGGACAATTCAGCGACGAGAAAGCGACGCGAGCCGTGCGCCGCGCCCGCGCGGAAGTGCCACTCCCGAGGGGCACGCGCACGGAGCTCGGGCGAGGGCGGCAGGCTGCCCCCCCTTCGCGCGGGCCCCCGACACATTCCGGCGGATGAGCACCTGCGCCCCGTCGAGGCGGGAGCCCCTTTCTCGGAAGCAGTCTGCTCGGCGCTGGGGCCAGAGCGGCAGTCTCGTCCACAGCGCGCGTCGGCGAAGCTGCGTGCGAAGAGTGCGCGCCGCGCCCAGGCGAGAGCCCACTTCCCCAGACACGGGAGCGCGGTGCAGCGTTGAGAGCGACGGTCTGGCTTTCCGCGCGGGACCTCGGCTTCGGCACCGCCTGTACCCGGGGCTATGCCTCCTCTCGGCCTCGCTCTGAGGCTCCGCCGCTTCCTCCCTCCTCTTCGCCGCCTAGCTCAAGCTTCGCGCGGCCCGCTTAGCTTCGACAGGAAGAGGTGCGCTCTCGGCCCGCGGATCAATAAAGTGCGCCCCGTCCCACTCCTGCCACGCATTTGACAACACGGACGACCGAATGTCCATGTGGAGACTGGAAACATTGATCTGCTGTTGTTGAGAGGGGTAGGGCACCTCGGATGGGCCGTTATCGGCTTGCTACGTGGCAGAGTAGGAGCAGATAGTTCGGGTAGGGTAGGTTCAAGGGGACGAGTATATTGCGATAGAGAAGGATAGGGTCGAGTTGGGTGAGGTAGGGTAGAGTGGAGCATGGTAGAGGGAGTCGAGTCGGGCACATGGTAGAGTAGGGTCAAATATTTTAGAGCAGAGTAGAGTAGCGCAGAGTAGAGTGTAGTGTAGCAGAGCAGGTCGAGTAGAGTAGAGTAGAGTATTTGCAGCGTAGAGTAGAGTATAATAGAGCAGAGTGGAGTGCAGTAGGGTAGGGCAGGGGGCAGGGTGGTAGAGCAGCGTGGAGCAGCGTGGAATAGAGTAGAGTAAAGTAGCGTACAGTGGAGTAGCGCAGAGTGCAGTGGAATGGAGTAGAGTAGGCTGGGGTAGATGTTCCTTTTTGGAGCCAACGCTGGTTGACATTGCTCCACTTCGGTATCATCCGCCCACTCGTCGATATAAGGCATGTGGCCCGTCAATATCCGCGCATGTTGTCAGAACATGTGTAGCTGCTCCAGCGCGCTGTCGCAAGAGCCGGGCGGGCCAGAGTGCAGGACTGGTGACAAGCTGGCATCGCCACAGACTGTGCCACCGAACTTCGCCCCCGAGGAGGTTCCATCCACCCCGCATTTGAGCAGCATTGCATTGCACATGTAGGACATGTTCAGATGTCATTATTGCATGCGTTGATTTCCCGCTCTCCAGTTCAGTTCCAGGCGAGGCACATGGCTGGCTATCGCTAGCCAGGTCGCTTGCCTTTCTTGGTAATGGCAGCACGGTCAAAAAGGAGCACACCAGTGCCATAGCCATGCACGAACCGAGCACACAGTCAAAACATAGTTTGGGATTTCCGCCGTTCCGAATCTGCCGAATAGTAAAGAGTTATAGTCAGTTTGTCACCGGTTGCCCAAGGCTGTCTTTCCGCCCTGCTCACGTTCGTGAGGGAGCGCAACATGCAAGCCCACATGCATGCAAGCAGTTCGAAGTGGCACTGCGTGATCCCATTTCAATATTCTGAGCTGCAGTCAGGGCAGAGCAGAGAGATGCCAGCAACGACCGTGCTGCACGATCGACCCAGGCCCTTCACAGGAGGCTGAAGGAGATCTCGAAGCCACATCGCTTTGCATCGCCGATACATATTCGGTCGTCTGCGATGCGGTGACTGGATTCGGTGACTGCAGCCCCGAATCATCGGTGTTTTGGCGACGCGATGTGGCCTATAAGCCTCACGCGACCCAGCCCAATGTCGGAGGCCTGTGTTCGACAAAAGACGCGTGTAACTTCCCACACGTGGGCAGGCTGCTGGAACTGTTCGCAGAGCCTGCAGAAAGGCAGAACAGCGCACTGCTAGACAGCTGAGCTTCAACACTGCGGGAATTTGTTATGCAAGTGGGCATCCTTTCTTCCTGGGGCTGGCCGCAGTCGGGTGCACTCTGCGTGCCCCACATCATTCGACGTCCTCTTCTCACGCGCACTCCCGTATCCAGTCTATTGTTCCGCCGTGCCCGAGCTGTCTCTCTCTCTCTCTCTCTTTCCCCGCCTCCAGCGCGCCATTCTCATACAGCATTCTCTAGGCAGCCCTTGGGGCCCAGGCCTCGGAAATGGACTGGGCATCGCTCGGACGTGTGCATTTTTCCTTCGGCGAGGACCATCGAGGAGCATCCTTGATCACTTGGCGAAAATAACACGCACGAAACCGAAAAAAACAGGGAATGGACGTCGAAGCGATGGCCAGTTGAGGCCAAGCCGCCCGATACGTAGAAGCGTTAGAAGCGTTGCATGCGCATCGCTTGCACACGCCTCACTATTTTGGAACTCAGTGCCATCCTGCGGATTCAGAGATCTGTCCTCGACCGGTGCAATCAGTGCTCCTCTTGCCCCACACTTTCACAGCCGTACAGTCAGGGCGCTGAAGAAGGAACCCTTCTCTTTGGGGAGGGGCTCGGTGCTCCTTGATTGTTTTACGGTTTGGCTTGGGTTTTCCCGAGGTTTTCGATGGGAAATCGAAGCTTAACTTTTGGGATCAAGGGGCCTCGTTCCTTATTTAAGGTTCCTTGGGTCAACGCCCCGACTGTATCGCCCCTACGAGTCATGAAGAAGCGCAGGCAGGGCAGGTTCTCCTCGTGCCGTTCTCGCCTGGCCACACAGCGGGAAGGGAGGAGGAGAAGGAGGAGGACTGGCACACATGGGGCTGCTCAGCCTTCGAACTGTGAAGAGGCCAAGTTTTTGTGAGCTTCCTCGCCGAAGGCGATGTTTCCGTACAGCGATCCGAGGAATCTCTCCAGATACGCAGCCTCCAGAGCTCTCGGCCCCTTCCAGGGGCCAGGGGGGAGGAGGAGGAGGAGGAGGAGGAGGAGGAGGAGGAGGAGGAGGAGGAGGAGGAGGAGGAGGAGAGGAGGAGGAGAAGGGGGAGGGAGGGGGGGGAGAGGAGGGGGGGGAGAGGAGGAGGAGGGGAGGAGGAGGAGGGAGGAGGAGGAGGAGGAGGAGGAGGAGGAGGAGGAGGAGGAGGAGGAGGAGGAGGAGGAGGAGCAGGAGGAGGAGGAGGAGGAGGAGGAGGAGGGCGCTTCTCATCTCTTGGGCGCTTTTTGACTGTGCTGGTGCCCAGAGCGGGCCTCCGGAGGCTCAGGCTACAAGGAAGCTTTGCCGCCTCGATGGCGTGCGGAAAAGCGCCGCTCGAGTGGCGCTGGAGCAGAGATGGGGTCGGAGGATCTCGCCGCGCGAATCGGAGATGCAACGTGATCTAGTCCAGATTTCGTAATAAAAGGGAGGGGGTCTGGACCCTCCAAGACAAGCCATTTCAGACCTCCCCCGTGGGAGAACCCTCCAAAACATCGTCCCCAGACCCCCCAGGCCCTCCAAGATAGCCTGGAAGAGACCCCCCCCGAAATGAGACCCCCCTCCCTTTATTACGAAATCTGGAGTACTGGAGCAGATGGGGTCGGAGGATCTCGCCGCGCGAATCGGAGATGCAACGCGATCTAGCTTCCGACTCTCGCCTTCCCATCGCCGCCGATGCATACAGTCGGTGCCCTGAAGAAGGAACCCTTTTCGTTGGGGAGGGGCTCCGTGTTCCCTAATTGTTTCGCAGCTTGCCTTAGATTTTCCTTAGGTTCTTCGACACGAAATCGAAGTTCAACTTATGGAGAAAAGGGGCCTCGTTCCTTATTTAGGGTTCCTTAGGTCAACGCCCCGACTGTAGCCGATGCATCCATGCGGTGCGGTCCTCATAGACCAAACATAGGAGACGCTGCACATCAAAATGCTAGTCACGAGCCCTCGAGAGCGTTCCTGCCCTTGTTCGAGAACGCTGGGCAAAGCTCCCCTGGAGGCATGGCTCCCTCGCTGGTGCCGGCACAGGGCATGCATATCTTACCCAGCTCAGTTGACGGATGCCCCCAGGGGGCAAGCAAGAGGATCGCAGGTGAGCTGTGGTTGACTTCCCTTTGGCCTCCCCTGGTCTTCCTCCTCCTTGGGCTCCTCTTTCTCTTTGGGCTCCCTCTCTTTCGGTATCTGGCGTTGTTGAACATCCGGGCGGTGGTCATCGACCCGTTCCCGCCACCAGACCCTGACGGTCCATTTGGCTCGAAAAATTGAACAGATAGAGGGCGAGGTCTTTGGCCGTGACTTGTCCACGACGTCGGATATGGGTACTTCTTCCTATCCTTTCTCTTCCCCATGCTCCGATGCCTCGATCTTTTCCGGTCGCCAGAGTCAGGAGCTCTCGACTTCTTCCCTTGGTCGGTGCTTCAGCCCATATGCTCGTTGACGGCCCCACGGCCTTGGTAAACGGCCCCCAGCGAGGCCGAACCCGGCGAAGGACGCCAGGATTGAAGGAAATCGCGACGCCGGAGGCATCACGGAGCGAGCTCTCAGAAGACTTTCGAGGGGGGTCCAGCCGTGGCGACGAGGGCCGGCGGCCCCAGTCGTCCGATGTCAGTCGGCTTCGGGAGCCCTGCCCTCGGAGCTGTCGCGCCCCTCCGTCTGTTCTCGGCGCCGTCTGCCCCGGGGCCAGTCCTTCCTCCCGGGCAGCTCTGGGAGGATCCCAGGGGAGAGGCGGCCTCCGGGCGCATGCCCGGCGTGGAGCTCGTCGTCTCCCCCTGACTCTGTCCAAGACGTCGGGGCCCTGGAATACTCGATCTCCTCCTGCTCCTGCTCCTCCTCCTCCTCCTCCTCCTCCTTCTCCTCCTCCTCCTCCTCCTCCTCCTCCTCCTCCTACTCCCCCTCCCCCTCCCCTCCCCCTCCCCCTCCCCCTCCCCCTCCCCCTCCTTCCCCTCCTTCCCCTCCTTCCCCTCTTCCTCCTCCTCCTCCTCCTCCTCCTCCTCCTCCTTCGCCCCCATGGCTGCAGGGCGAGCTGCTGCTGGACAGGCCGACGTGGCCCCCGGGCCCCCCGCAGCTGCAGGCGAGGCCGGCGGCCGGCGGACCTCCAGCCCCGGCCTGCCTCTCTCCGGCAGAGGAGGCCGCTCTGCTCGATGCGCATCGTGCTTCGGCAGGTTTGCTCGCGTCGAGGGGGGACATGTATTAAAAATGCAGGGATTTAGTATTCAAAAACAACGATGAGTTCATGCGTAAATTCATTCATAAATTAATCATGGATTAGCAATCTTATATGTTTGAAAAATCCTATGCATTAGAAACTGCCCTGGAGGGGGGGTGGGGGGGGCAGCAGGGCCCCTGTGGGAAGCTTGGGCTTCGCGCAGGTCGAGACTCGCGCGCACGCCCGTCAGCTCGGCATCGTTTCCAAAGGTGGTGGTTGGGAGGGGGTGGAGCAGAATGCCGTGCGAGTTGTTTCCTAAACTCCGGATGTTGGGATGTGACCTTGCACGCACTTTGTGGTGTGGTCCGCGGGATGCCAGCACATCCCCAGGGAGCCTCTCGCTCCAGTGCTGCTGCCTTTCCCGCTCCCCGCCCGCTTCCGCCCCTCTAGTCTGTCGCTTCTCCTCGATTCCTCGTCGCTGCCGATGCGGGGCATCTTTGGCCACCAGTCAGGGGATACATCTGCGCAGGCTTTGGGCCTCTGTTGGACAGGCCAAGGCTTCGCGAGTTAACTCGCCCACTGCACGCCTCCACGCCCTCGTCCGCCTCCACGCCCTCGACCACTCCACAGGGCCGAGTGCGGCATCGGGTGCGCGCAGGCAGTCGGTCTGCGGGGAGCCCATCACGTCGACGCAGGCGTCGCCCGTCCGAGAGTGGGCATGGATGGCCACCACTCGGGACGTGGCCAGCCACCGATGCACCGGATTCCCGACAGTCGTATCTGCACTGGGCCCGCATCGCTCGACAAGGGGAGAAACGAGTGAGGGGAGAAATGGGAGGAGGAGTAAGGTGAGGAGGAGGAGGAGGAGGAGGAGGAGGAGGAGGAGGAGGAGGAGGAGGAAGGAGGAGAGATACGGTGGAGGAAGAGGAGGAAGAGGAGGACGAGGAGAGGAAGAGGAGGAGGAGAGGAGGAGGAGGGGTAGGAGGAGGAAGGAGAGATACGGTGGAGGAGGAGGAGGAGGAGGAGGAGGAGGAGGAGAGGAGGAGAAGGAGCAGGAGGAGGAGGAGGAGGAGGAAGGAGGGATACAGTGGGGAGGAGGAGGAGGAGGAGGAGGAGGAGGAGGAGGAGAAGGAGGATAGAGTGGAGGAGGAGGAGGAGGAGGAGGAGGAGGAGGAGGAGGAGGAGAAGAGGAGGAGGGAGGAAGAGGAGAGAAAGAAGCGGAGAGGAGGAGGAGGAGGAGGAGGAGGAGGAGGAGGAGGAGGAGGAGGAGGAGATGCCCTCCACAAGCCATTTGGCCTTCAGCGGGCCAGCCGATCCCGATCGATCAATCGGGGTCGATCGGCGCCCGCCGCCCGCTCGATCGCGGTGGCAAGGCGCCGATCTCTCGGCCAGCCCGCGAGGCAGGGCTGAGGCGCGCCGCGCGCGCGGCCATCCCGCCGCCGCCGCGGCCGCGGCAGCGGCGCCCCCCAGGCAGAACGCCGAGGGGCTGGAGGTCCGAGCCAGAGCCAGCCTGGCACAGACGCTTGCGGGACAAGAGGGGGGACGCGAGGGTCCTCCTCAGGCTCGCAGCGGCCAAGAGGATCCTGGAGGAGCACCACTCGGCGCAGCAGCCCCAGCGCAACAAGCAGCACAACGTCGAGCAGCACATAGACGAGGAGATGACGACGAAGGCGCCATGGCAGAGCTGGCAGCGCAACAACACGAACTGCAAGACCAACACGAACAACTTCGAGACCAGCGAGATGGCGACCAGTACGAAATCCCTCGGCCACCCTGTGGGGGCCAAGCCGTGGCCATGGAGGTCAAGCACACCAGCATCTGGATCCTCGTACCGCCGACAACATGGAGGGCATGGACAACAGCAGCCACGGCACCAGCACCAGCACAACCAGCACCACCACACCTCCCACCACGACGAGGATCGACAGCAGCACAATGACGCCCAGCATCAGCAGCAGTACAAGTACGACATCATGACACCGAGAACGAAGCGGGCCCACTCAAGAAGACGCCACCAGGCCCCCGAAGACGCCACCAACGACCACCGACAGCTGCCGAAATTGACGAAACGTCAGTTGGAGGTCACCGAAAAGGTAATGCCCGCCCTGCTCTCGGATGCCAAGGGACACGAAAGTTTTTCTCTTCCTCCCGACGACCCAGACATACGTCGGGTTTGGCACGCCACCAAGGTGGCGCGGATGGCACGTCTCGCCGACCAAGTCCAAGGAGCATGGCAAGCCCAAGTCGACCCGACCCGCTTGATCGAGGAGCTAGCCATAGTCAAGACCATGATACACATGCTGGACACACCGACGGCGCGCATTGCACAATACAGATCCCAAGTGGAGTCACGGATACAGAGACAGCAGACCGTCGAGAGCCAGCTCAAAGACCTCGATAAGGAGCACAACGAAATCAAGGGCGAGATTGCATCCCTCAAGGCACTCATCTCCGAGGCCAAGCAGTATCGAGAACACGCCGAACTTTACGAAGACAGCTGTGACGGGGATGGTGAAGATGACGTGCGACAACGCATCAGGGGCAAGACACCACATCCCGAGAGAAGACAGCGAACACCAGCCCGACAATCGGTACATGAGCCAGCGCATGCTTCGATCACCAACGACAACGGCGACCTGCGGAAACTCATTGACGTGCTGACGAGGAGAGTGGACGAGCAGCAGCGTAACCACGGAATACACCAACACCATCTGGCGTTTCTCCATCATGAACGAGCTGAATCCGAACAACACGAAGCACAGCGTCAACGGCAGGCCGAGCAAATTCAGGAGCTTTCGCAACACCTACAGCACTGCCATGAACAACTTCAGCAGGCACAAATTCTGCAGCGACAATCGTACTACGACGAGATCCAAGCCTTCCGACAACGCGAGGAGCGGCTCCGACACGAGGCTCACGAATCCATCACGGAGAACATGGCTCACTACCAGCAGAAGGAGGCATACCTGCGCGACCAGCTCAGGGAGGAGGAGTCAGCTCACCTCGCCACTTGCATCATCCAGAGGAGGCAAGAGGAAGAGACCTTCCGGCACCAGCTACAGGAGAATGCTGAAATCATGGTCAAACAATATCAACAACGATGCCACGAACAACAGCAGCGTCTTATCTCCGAGAAAGCTCAGGCTCAGCAGGACATCAGCAACATCGCGAGGCTTGAACAGAACCAGCTACAGGATGCTAAGGAGCTACTTTTGGAGGAGTTCGGACAAGTCCAGGCTCAGAAGTACCGCACCATGATGGCCCAGAGCGAGTACAACAGCGAGATCGACAAGCTTCGAGGCTCTTCCCATGACATGCAGCGCTTCGAGAACGAACTCCAGGAGCAGCACCGACTCCAACTACAGGAGCACCTTCAGCAACACAGACAGGAGCGCGAGCGACTGCATTGCGAACTGCAGCAGGCTCAAGAGTTCGGCACCAGCATCGACGTGGACATCCTCAGGGAGCTCGACACACAACTCCAAGAACGAGACGAGGAAGACGCACGACTGCAAGCCCAAGCAGACGCTGAGCAAGCACACGTCGACAAACAGATTCAAGCGGCACTCGACCTGCTGACCCCACCGTCTTCATCGGATGACTCGGGCTATCAATTCTACCTCAGAAACCGCGGCAGCAGCAGCGGAGGACAGCCCAGCAACAGCGGACAGCGCAGAAACACACCACCACCACGACCGACACCTGCTACGCCAACCGCCACTCCCACTGCGCGACGCCCATGCCACGACGCCGACGAAGCCAGCGTACACACCCCAATCCCCGCCGACGACGACGACCTTTGCAGCCCAACCCCAGTTGCGAGCGACGCTTATCCCTTCCCTGTCCCGACGCCACTACCCACCCCTGCCTCGCATACGCCGATCCCCACCGAGCAGCCTACGCCCACCGACTTCCGCCCACCCGACCCGCAGAAGGACCGACCCAGTTCAGCGCCACCACCACTCACCAGAAGGACAGACTCAACTCAGCACAACCACCCATCCACTACTCTACTCATTGACATCACTTCCGACGACGAAGCACCACCACCTTCCACCCCAGTGCGCATTCCACTAGCCGACATTTCCCCTACCGCACCGATGCAGCCAATCCAACCACCGCCCCGCTTCCACCTCGCCACGCCCGACCGCGCCACATCGGCTCCTCCGCCCCGCACAGCTCTCCGAAAAAACGGATCATCTAGACGAGCGGCCAAGCCCAAGAAAGTCCGTATATGCGACATCGGAGACGGATTCGCAGACCCAGGAGACCGAGTGCCAACCTTCCTCAACGACGAGGAAGGCCCCGCGGTCAACTCACCAAAAAACTAACGAGGCCCTCACCCCCTGGGGGGCAACTGGCCCAGGGGGAGCGGCCCAGCATCACACCAGAAGACTGCCTGCGCAACGACGGCAATTCCGACTCCTGCAGTGGTTACGCCGACGACGTCAGGCGCCGACTATTCGAGCCCCTGGCGAGCTCCGATCCACCATACGACACTTCACAAGTTTCACCTACCATCTCATCAGACAATGGCGGCATGCGCGTCGGGGAGAGCGCACCTCCAGATTCTTACGAGCATGGCGACATGTGGGAAATCCACACACCGCCCAACACGCTACAGCCTAGTAGTGGACCGTGGACCATCACCTCGGCCTCTACCTCTCGCTTGGGGAGCGCGAGAAGGCTGTCTCACACAGATCCTACACGAGTACCGCATACGCTAGCGGACCGACCAACTACGGCAACCCGACCTCGACGGCAGCATGTCGACTCACATCCTCCACCAGCGGAAGCCCAGTCACGGTCGTTCCCGACGATGACGACGCCACCGCCTACGCCTCGAGAGGAAGCATCGCTTTGTGAGGACGACACGAGGGGGGAGACCTCCCTTGGTTGCGGCCGTCTGTGGCAAGAACGACAAG